ACACACACACACACACACACACACACACACACACACACACACCAGTGGTTCCCAATCTTTTTTTGGCCATGCCCCACCTAAGCATCTCTAAAATCCAGGTTCCTCCTGCCTCCAACATATAATTCTTACTTTACTCAAAAAGTGAACTCTACTCCCGCAGAGGAAGCCTAAAAGGTTTAATGGCCTTTTGGTTTAAACAAGGTTCAAATTGCCCCCATTAAAAATCAAATTGCTCCCCTGTGGGGACTGGGCCCCACGTTGGGAAACACTGATATACACCTTGCAACAAATTAAAGATGCTCAGGATTTAACACCGGCAACAAGAACTCACTATACAACCGGATATGCAAATCCAGCCGCATCTGTTCGACTCTTTTCACTACTGGATCAACCAAAGTAAAGGTCAGAAATGGGCTTGCCCGCCTTACGGGAGAGAAGGCAGGCATCGAGTGCACATCCTTCCTTCTCAGACAGGTTCAACAAACGACTATCGGAGCGGCTTTGCACGCCGATATCTCCTCGAGGCACAGAGATTGGTGTGCGTGTGTGTGTGTGTGTGTGTTTTCCCCCCCTTTTCTCCGGGCAGGGATTTACGATGTAATGAACCTCGCTTCATTCGCAATTAGGGACGATCCATTTCGTTGCCCTGCGAGCCCTTCTTCCTCTCACCCCCCCGACGTGAAAGAGCGATCAGGCCGGGCCAACCTTCGCTTCCAAGCCTACCTTACTTACTTCAGTCCGCGGGCACCGCCCCTTCCCCGAGTTGGAAGATTCAAAACCAACCAGGAGGAGACGCCGCCGAGCAAATAGGGCCAGGAATACCCGGACCCTCGGCTCGATCCCAGGCAGCGCTGAGATCGGAAGCGAGCGGGTGTGTGTGTAGGTGTGTGTTTGTGTGTGTGTCTCCCAGAAGAGAAAACGGAGAGCCGAAAAAGGTGCGTGAAAGGCTTCATTGGAAACCCATCTGGAACCCTCCCGTCCCAACCGACAGATTTACCTGAGAAATTGTCGAAGGCGGTAGGGATGTACTCCGTAGGATAGCCGTTGGTGGTGTAACTCACCACCAGGCTGGTTTTACCCACCGCGCCGTCTCCCACCAGCACACACTTGATGCTGCGCCGGGGCTCCGCTCCGATCGCTCCGGCCCCTCCGCTGGCTCCAGCCCGGCAGCGGCTACCCAAGGCAGCCCCCAACGCCGCCGCTCGGCTACTGCGGACCCGACGCGGGGGCACCGGAGGCACTTCGCAGCCGCCCGGCAGCGGCTTGCTGATGTAGCCGGTTTCTCCTTCTTGCTGCGGCGGCATCCGCCCGGCTCCGGTGCGGGAGACCCCCAAAGACAACGAGATCCGCCGAGCCACAGCCGCGGAAGGCAGTGGCGAAAGGCGCCGGGAAGCGATCGGGTCCGGGTAGGTGGGTGGGTGGGTGGCGCGCCTGCTGGAGAAGAGCTTTTCCAGACTCCCAGCGCCCAGCTTCCTTCTTCCCGAGCTCTGCGCCTCCGGCACCTCACAGTCGCGGGATCTCGCTCCTTCAGCAGCAGCAGCAGCAGCAGCAGCCTTTGCTCGCGGGAAGCCTATACAAGCAGCCAAGCGCTCGATCTGCCGCCAGATGACATAATCCCGAAGAAACCGAGAAAAACGAGCCAAAGAGGGCGGGGCAGCCTGGGACGGGCGGGGCTTTGATGGAGAAAGGACTGGCCGGCAGGCGGCGCTCCAAACCACAGGGCCGCTCGACTCCCGGGGCGAAAGCGCGAAAGAGGAGGCGATGTGCGTGATTCCTGGCCGGCTCGGACTCAATCTCGTTGGCGATCGAGCGCTTCCCATTGGCCAGTCTGCTTCTTTTCGAACATTGACGACAATGGCTTATCTCATTTGGCTGGACATTTGAACAAGGCCACGTAAGCCNAAGATGTTGGATAGCCATTTGTCTGAAACGGTATAGGGTTTCCTGCCTAGGCAGGGGGTTGGACTAGAAGACCTCCAAGGTCCCTTCGAACTCTGTTATTGCATTGTATTGTATTAAAATAAAATAAAAACTTTTAAGAAAAAGAGTCTTGTTCTTGAGCTCAAGTGGTTCTTATGTGTCAACAGGTGCGCAGCAACAGTTTCTAAGTAATCCTGAAAGGGAGTTCTGGGTAAAGCACCTTGCACTAATCCAATCTTGAAATAAGGGTATTGAGCTCTGCAAACTTCTTCCATTAAAAGTACAGGAGTAGTTTGATAAGAAAATAGGAAGCACATACAACAGGCAAGATTTAGGGGCAAAACCCGAGATTCTACTCTTTGAAGTACTTAAAGTCATAAATGATGCAGTGGTTAGGGCACTAAGCTAGATATTGATGAAGTGTTTCCTGTCCCTTCACCAGGGTGATTCTGGGTCAGTCACTCTCTTTCAGCTCAAGAAAGAAAGCAGTGACAACTCAATTCTGAAAACGTTGCCAAGAAAACCGCAGGAACTTGTTGAGGCAGTTGCCAGGAATTAAAAACCTTCCTCTAAGAATGGATGGAGAGAGAGGGGAGGGGGGAGAGAGATCTCCATTACTGTTGATGGACATAAGTTTCCAAGACAGAGGAGCACAATCTAGCCCTCAAGGCTTGACTGGACCTAAGAGACCTCCAAAATCTGTTACTGAAACTCTAATATGTCATGTACCAGAAGAGGAAAATGTTTTAATACATGACCAGAGGGATATCACAATCACTTTTAATTCTAACTGGATGTAATTGAAATGACCCCAGCTTAAGGTTTCTGTCCTGTTCCTGTCCACTTTTTGGATTTGAAAGCTAATGTAGCCTTCAGCCTAGAAAATGTTATGCAATCCTACTATAACTCCAACGCACCAATGGCCAGACCCCTGCAAGAAACAGAAAAGCTTTTTTCTCTGGATTCTGAATGGTAAATAGACGGCCAGATACAAATACATACATGCCCACAAGTACAAGCTCATTCTCTTGCACTCTTCTTCTTCTTCTTCTTCTTCTTCTTCTTCTCTCTCTCTCTCTCTCTCTCTCTCTCTCTCTCTCTCTCTCTCTCACACACACACACACACACACACACACCACTCTTGCCAACCAGTGAAGCAACTCTTCTCCTCTTCCCACTGTTGCCCTATCCTGTTCGGGGACTGTCACTGTCCTGGTGACAAAGAAACCATTATAATCTTGGGCCCTCAGGGTAACAAAAGAGCCACTTCCAGCCATGGCTCAAGGGGGGAATGTGGGCTCCTGGGCTCCTCATGTCACCCTGGGAAACCGTCTGGGACAGAGTGGCACTGCTCCCAGGCTATCACCATGGCAACCCAAGTGTCCACCAAAGGCTGCAGGGGAAGGCTCAGAAAAACAGGCCAAGAGGTGGGCAAAAGGGAGACAGTTCCTTAATGGCGGCTGTGAGGTGGCAAAGGGTCTTTTGGGCAAATCTGACATGGGAAACCAACATGCCGCAGGGAAGCCCCTTCCTCCAAGATTAAGGACTTCTGGAGATCTAGGAAGGTAGAATCTTCTAAAAGGAGTCCAAGGTGAATTTTTCCATCACAGATTCGCAGATGTGTGCTGATATACCTATGTGACACACATATACTCACATACACACACCATGTCATTGAAAACCACTGGATCAATTACGTAAGCAACTTTACTGACCTGCCCGGCTGTGTCACAGAGTTGAAGTCTCACAGGTCGGCCATCTACAGACACAACAGCTGAAATGGAAGGAAGGGGAAGAGTCAGAAAAAAAACTTTTACCTGTGAATGAAGCATTACATCTGTCGTCCTCACATTAATCATTTACCTTTGGACCCGTTTGAGTCCAGTTTAACAGCCTGCAGAGCCCCAAGTCAGCTTTTTCTGCCCATCCTCCCCCCCCTCTTCCCAACAATTCCTGGGTTTACACAAACCCTTCAGGGCTTCCGGGTTTCGTTACAAAGCAGAAAATTGTGACCTAAAGACATTTGCCCCATACAAAAAGAGAGTTGCGGAAACACAAACACAAAGGAGGATTTTGCTCCACAAACACTCTCTAAACATGCTTGAAGATTGAACCCCTTCCCCAGTGCTTTAAATCACAAAGGAGACAATACAAATATTTACATATTTCCCCTGTAGAGAAATCTCCTCTTATTCTACTGTTTCTTCTTTGTGGATTAGGTTGAAGTCTGCCTCTCCCCCACCCCCCCACCAACCCCATTATACAAGGCTAAAGCCCCTTTCTGGGGGAGATGGGTGGTTAATAAATATGATTGATTGATTGATAATAAAGAAACAAATAATGTTGCTTTATTGCTCTATTCATTGCTCTATCAATCTGCAACATGGATAGCAAAATTGTGCCCTTCAGGTATTTAGAACAGAACTTTATTATACTATAAGCATAAGGCAATAAATGTGAAATCTCAAAAATTGTACAAAATTGTACAAAAGTCAAATATTTCATTGGGGTCTTTTAACTGGTGAATTATAACAAACCACAACAATAGCAAAATATATACACTGTTGATTTATACAATTTTAAAAAAAACAAATATATACTATTGTGATTAAAATAAAATGAATTTTTTAAAAAAATGAATACCAAAGGCAAACCTTCTATTGTAAAACCACAAGTCTACAAAAGGTTATTATTTGGGAGTCAATTTCGCTAAATTCAAGGGAACTTATTGTCAAGTAAACTTAAAGAGTGGCTTACAGGTCTTGCAGAAAATAGAACAATTTAGAGTACAGATAATCAACTCAAGATTTTATATTACAACAAAATTCCTTGCATTTTGACATCAGGTCAATGCAAGAGTGCACGTCCTTCAATGCTGGCTGGAAAAACATGTTCCTGCACTGAATGAAATACACACGAAACTCCCACAATTGGAGCCCTGTGTTTACTGTTCGGTGTTTGCTTTCAAGCACATAAAAGCCCTTCAGACTTTACAGAAAAGAGTCAACTAATACAGATACTGCCCTGGAGGAACCACCTTTTCTGAGGCGGGGGAGTCAAGTAACAATGAATATCTACTTCCAAGGACAAGCATGATGGGCCAGTGTTTTCTCGCTTCAGAGCACCACCTCTTTTTTTAAATTAAATATTAGAGAAGTTGTCAGGGGGGGATGTAATTAACAAACATTCACAAAGCTCCCAGCAGAAAGCTCTCTCCACTGTGGTTTCCAAGAAAAATAAAAGGAAGTCTAAAGTAACCTGGTGGGAAGAAAGGCGAATAAGAGTTGCCCCTTGTCTTAAGGGATAAAGATTATTATGAGTTATCCCAAAAGATTTCCAAAGCAAAAGAGAAGTGTAATATTCTAGAAAATAAAGGACTAAGAAATGCAAGGCTGGAGAACAGAATGTAACTTCCCTGACCCTGAGATAACAGAATAACACAGTTGGAAGGTCTTAATCCAACTCTCTGCTGTATAAATAGATAAACCGAACTATGCCAACACCCCAAAATTACTCAGCTCTATATGCTGTACCACACCAGCACTCCCTCCAGCAAGGATTAGCAACATTTCTAAAGATTCAGATTTTAGTGCAGTGAAAAGGTTACTAGTCCTCATCACCAGGACTAGTGAAAAAATACAGCAAATAAGGATCACATATTCCAAAATGAACTATAGAAAAAGGACACAGATTTTTTAATGTGAGGGGGGCAATAAATTCCTCTAAATGGACTGAAACGTCTCAATAAACTAGGAAACATAGTGCTACCCTTATAGTTTTAACAAAAGATATACATACATATACATACACACACACACATATATATACAAATACTTACTTACTTACTTACATACATACACACACACACACACACACACACACACACACACACACACACACACCAGTGGTTCCCAATCTTTTT